GTGAGAAAGACGTTCCCACTGACACAGCCACTCATCTAAACACAGCCCAGCTCTGGGCTCAAACGTTGATTTAGCTATTCCCAGAACTGCTTTGCTAGTCCCTGCAACCACACGCACACTCAGATGCACACACACAGACACATACAGATACAAACTTGTGCACACATGCAGATACAAATACACACATGCACACCCAACAGAGAGACACACATGTGCACGCGCACACACGCTCCATCCTGTACATTAGAGTAAGTGGGCAGAGGCTGTGTGGCGGTCACAGTTCCCCTTATTTCACACCACCCAGGGCATAGCCCTGGCGGCAGCATCTCCTTGTGACCTCTGGTCTCTCGTGGTGCCAGTGCTGCTTCCTCCTGGAGGCTGCAGGCTGGCCCACCTCTGAGCACACGGCCTGTCACGTGGCCTGCTCCCCCAGCTTCTCCATCGTCCTCCGCCGGCAGCTGCAGGAGGGCCGCGCTGCCTCGTGCCTTTACTCTTTCGCAGCTGCGGCTGGCGCAGGGCGCGGGTGCGGAGGCTCTGGGTGCGGAGGCTCTGGGTGCGGAGGCTCTGGGTGCGAAGGCGGGCAGGGCAGCACAGCCTCATGAAGGCAGGGCCTGGAGTCGAGACACTTGGGTTTTAATCCCACTCAGCTGCCAAGGCCGCTGACTCCTATTTTCATGAGCATCTCCCGGCTCTGTATTTCCCGACTAGGGCTTGTGAAGGAAGAGACCACTAGCACCTCGCACCCACACCCACCACAGTCCTCGCGATCAAACCCGCCCGGCCGGCCATCGCTGTGCGACCGAGCGCGGGAGGGGCAGTGGGGGAACCTGGCAGACAGGCAGGGACAGGAGCTCCCTTGGATGGAGAACGCAAACCCCACAAATCTTTTTGAGAAATGGGATGGGAAGCAGCAAAGTCGGGCTGTTACTGAGATAAAACAGAAAATAGGCTCAACACATGGTTTAGGCCTCTCCACAGAAAATGAGCGTAGACACCAGTACCAGCATCGCGTGCCAGAACCGGGCCTGAGACTTCCGCTTCCACACCCAGGGCCCTCCCAGGACTCCCCCGCCACAGCCGGGCAGGGAAGAGGAAAGGCACCCATCGCTTCCAAGACAGATTTCAGAATTTTTCATTTATCCAGATGCTAATTTTATGCGTTTGGTCAATAAATGCTTTGTAAAATGTATTTATGAAGTTCAATACTTTCATGCAAATCTTAGACACTAATGATCTATGGTCCATGTTTTAATAACCACATTATTCTCCTTTGTAAAAATCTTCTAGCTGGAAACAAAGAAGACAAAAATGCTGGGAGGGCAGTGTTGAACCTCCCGGGAGACGTGCCGCGAGCACTTGGGCAAGCGGAGCCCTGGGGTGAACAAGGTCCCCGGCCTCGGCAGGACTGAGCCCTGCACCCCCCCCTCAGCTGTGCCACCGCACGTGTCCCCAGACCAGCCAATGCGCCTGCGGACCAGTCCCTGCGAGAACTGACCAGAGCCCGGCGCTGGGTAGGAACGTCGTGCCTGCCATTTCCCACAGCGGCAGCCTGTCGTCTGCATTATCTCAGGTTCCTTCCAAGTTCCCTCTTTTCCCAACGGAATGAATTCCTCGAGGTACAAATGACACTCCACAGAGATTAAAAGTTTATTTCCCTGTCTAATGATTTTCTTTAAAAAGTTTACTTTTTGATAAAGTAAAACCAACCTTCAGTACCATAGAAACCCTTCGACGTGAGCGATGCACATTATCTCTATGTGCACCGTGAGGGGCCAGGCCAGCCGAGGACCGAGCTGCGCACCCTGCCCGACACAAGCGGCAGGATGTGTCCCGGACGGCATGGTCCCCTGGGCTGGGGAACATCCTACAATTGAAAAATATAAATAAGACCTTCAATGAGCTGAGAGTCACAGAAATGCCCTGACTCCAGTCCACGGCTCCTGGGGCCATGCAGCAGCTGCAGGGGCTCTCGGAGCAGGAGGCAGCCTGAGGGCCTGCAGGTCCCGCGGGTCCATCACCAGAAGCTGCTCTCGGTGCGAGGACAGCGCCTGCCTCACAGCCCGTTCTTCACCAGCTCGTGGACCCCATGCTCGTCGATGATCAGAGGCGCGTGGAACTCCCTGTGGGCCACGAGGCTCTCCAGTCCCTGAGAGGAGGGCGAGATGAAGCAGGTTAGGAAACGGTGACAGTGGGGCGGACAGCGGCTGCGAGGCGGCTGGGGCTGTGACATGCTTTAGGGTGTGAAGCACAGAAGCTGGGCTGAGAGCAGAGGGTGAGTCAGTAAGAACCGATTTGGTGCACACTTTTTCCTTATTGCAATACTTCTCTACACGGTGGCCTGGTGGCCTGGTATGCCTGTAGTTGTCTTATGTCATGAGCAACTTTAAAATAAAACCCAAAACTTAGAAAAAGTTAGCACAAGGTCAGAGGATTAGGAACCTGATTAAAATCGAACATAAAGCAGCCAGGGTTTTTTCTTTCTATTTTGAATTGCCAACATTGCCGGCTCCCCGAGAATACCAGCCTGGCATTCACCCATTTCTGAATGAACCTGGTACTTGCTGACCTTCAAATCCTTCCAGGTTGTCTAAAAGGAGCCGGGCGGGACTCTGAGTGGCCTGGCAATTTGTTGGCATCAAATCCCTTTAAACCTCTGCAGCTGACAGTGGAGAATTGACGGTGTCTTTTGTTTGTTTTTATTTTCTGTTGTTTTTTTACATTTTATTTTATTATCTTTTTAATCTTTATCGTTGGAAGTATTACATAGGTCTTCTTTTTCCCCCCATTGATCTCTCTAGCCCGCCCCCAGACCCTCACCATCACATTGTCTGTGTCCAAGGGTCATGCATATATGCATACACTGTTCGCCCCCCCACCCACCCCGCCCACCCCTCCCTATTGTCTGTGTCCACGGGTTATACATATGCACACAGGTCTTTGGTTGATCTCTTCCCACCCACCCTCTCCTGCCTTCCCTCTGAGATTCCAGTCTGTCCATGCTTCTCTCTGTGTTTATTCTGGTCATCAGTTTATCTGGTTCATTTGATTCCACATAAAGGTGAGGTCAAGTGATACTTATCTTTCTCTGACTGTTTGGTACACACTTTAAACTGAGCTTAATGACCTACTTATAACAGCATGAAACAGACCACACTACAGTAAAATTATTCTGACTATAATGTTATTTCTAAAGTTAATAGGATGATACTCATTCTTCCTTTAATCGTCCCCAGTGCGGGTCACTTGCTAAGCATGGGGGAGGGGTGGCTGCCTCTGCCGGGGCCTCTGGAAAATACGTCACACATTAGACCTGTGGTTCTCAACCTTCCTAATGCCTCGACCCTTTAATACAGTTCCTCATGTTGTGGTGACCCCCAATTTCATTGTTACAAATTGAACATCATTAAAGCATAGTGACTAATCACAAAAACAATATGTAATTATATATGTGTTTTCCGATGGTCTTCGGCGACCCTTGTGAAAGGGTCGTTCGACCCCCAAAGGGGTCACTACCCACAGGTTGAGAACCGCTGGGTTAGAAGAACCAGCTCCCTGGTTCTCAAAGCGAGAGCACTAGGTTTATGAACAACAGACCCTCCGCTGGCTCAGTGGCTGGAGCATCAGCCTCGGATTCGATTCCCAGTCAAGGGCATGTACTTGGGCTGCAGGTTCGATCCGCCCCTTCGGAATACGTGTGGCAGGCAACCAGTCGATGTGTCTCTCTCACACCGATGTTTTTCTCTCTCTCTTTCTCCCTCTCTTCCTCCCATTCTCTCTGAAGGGCAATGGAAAAAATATCCTCAGGTGAGGATTAATAAAACACTAGAGGCCCGGTGCACAAAATTTGTGCAGGGGAGTGGTGTGCCTCAGCTCGCCCCCAACTGCCCTCCCCAGCCAGCCTGGTCGTGCCCCCAACTGCCCTCCCCAGCCAGCCTGGTCGTGCCCCCAACTGCCCTCCCCAGCCAGCCTGGTCGTGCCCCCAACTGCCCTCCCCAGCCAGCCTGGTCGTGCCCCCAACTGCCCTCCCCAGCCAGCCTGGTCGTGCCCCCAACTGCCCTCCCCAGCCAGCCTGGTCGTGCCCCCAACTGCCCTCCCCAGCCAGCCTGGTCGTGCCCCCAACTGCCCTCCCCAGCCAGCCTGGTCGTGCCCCCAACTGCCCTCCCCAGCCAGCCTGGTCGTGCCCCCAACTGCCCTCCCCAGCCAGCCTGGTCGTGCCCCCAACTGCCCTCCCCAGCCAGCCTGGTCGTGCCCCCAACTGCCCTCCCCAGCCAGCCTGGTCGTGCCCCCAACTGCCCTCCCCAGCCAGCCTGGTCGTGCCCCCAACTGCCCTCCCCAGCCAGCCTGGTCGTGCCCCCAACTGCCCTCCCCAGCCAGCCTGGTCGTGCCCCCAACTGCCCTCCCCAGCCAGCCTGGTCGTGCCCCCAACTGCCCTCCCCAGCCAGCCTGGTCGTGCCCCCAACTGCCCTCCCCAGCCAGCCTGGTCGTGCCCCCAACTGCCCTCCCCAGCCAGCCTGGTCGTGCCCCCAACTGCCCTCCCCAGCCAGCCTGGTCGTGCCCCCAACTGCCCTCCCCAGCCAGCCTGGTCGTGCCCCCAACTGCCCTCCCCAGCCAGCCTGGTCGTGCCCCCAACTGCCCTCCCCAGCCAGCCTGGTCGTGCCCCCAACTGCCCTCCCCAGCCAGCCTGGTCGTGCCCCCAACTGCCCTCCCCAGCCAGCCTGGTCGTGCCCCCAACTGCCCTCCCCAGCCAGCCTGGTCGTGCCCCCAACTGCCCTCCCCTGCTGGCCTGACTGTGCCCCCAACTGCCCTCCCCTGCTGGCCTGACTGTGCCCCCAACTGCCCTCCCCTGCTGGCCTGACTGTGCCCCCAACTGCCCTCCCCTGCTGGCCTGACTGTGCCCCCAACTGCCCTCCCCTGCTGGCCTGACTGTGCCCCCAACTGCCCTCCCCTGCTGGCCTGACTGTGCCCCCAACTGCCCTCCCCTGCTGGCCTGACTGTGCCCCCAACTGCCCTCCCCTGCCGGCCTGACTGTGCCCCCAACTGCCCTCCCCTGCAGACCTGGTTGCCCCTAACCCTCTGCCGTCCTGATCTCCCCCCCAACTGCCTCTGCCTCGGCCCCCACCACCATGGCTTTGTCCGGAAGGAAGTCAGATGTCCGGAAGATGGCCGGTTGATCCAGTCTAATTAGCATATTACCCTTTTATTAGTATAGAAAAGTAAAGTAAAAAGAGCCATGTGATTTATCTACAAAACAAGGCGGTCACATATTTTTGAAAAGCCTGTTCTATCTCCATGTCCAAGGGACATGCACTGATGTGGAAGCGTCTCTTTGTGGGAACCAGCCTCGTGGCCTCTGCGGCAGAGCTGGGATGGACTCTCGGGGGAGGGGCCGAGAGCAAAGGTGGCTCTGCAGGACCGGCTCTCAGGGAAGGGTCCCCGCAATGCTCCGTCCTGTGAGGGCAGCTCCACTTAAACATGAAACAGAACCAGACTCTACTTTAAAAACGAGCAGAAAAGCAAAGCTACTCACTTCTCCGGCGTAGGAGGTGAGGGGGGAGACTTCGCACTGGATCGGGTCATCGCTGGCGTCCTTCAAGCTGCGGAGAGACCACGTGTCACAGACTGTCCCCACGTTGCCCGCCAGAGGGAAAGGCAGAGCGGCTTTCCTCTGAGAAGCTTGTGAGGACAGAGTTCTGCTGTTAGCAGCCCCGACGACCACCAAGCGCCCTGAGGATTAGGCTCCCGGACACGGTCACGGTCAGCAGACAGCCGGTGCACGCATCGCCTCCTGACATCTCCCGTCCAAGTTCTGATTTGACAAGGAAGGGACAGCAGACTAAACAGACACGGTCCAGGTACGTCCCCAGGTGCGTGATCCTTCACAGTCACTTTACTCCTCGCCACACCAGAGAGCTGGCCCAGAGTCTGACAAAGACAGTAACGGTGCAGCCGGCACGGCAGCCACTCGCCACAGGGGGCGCTCAAACCTGAACTCCTTGAAACTGTAAATCTCAATTTTAATTTTAAAATTCAATTCGCATCACAATGACCGTGTTCCAAGTGCCCGTAGCCACGCAAGGCTGCGACAGCAGGCCCGTCACCACGCGCCTCCTCCAGGCCACGCTCAGCACCGACAGCACCTGCCAGCCTGAGAGTCTCCATCACCTGGCACAAAGCAATGCAGTGTTAAAACATATCTAAAGCCATGAGACCTCTGAGCTTTCGCCATGTCAAGAGTTTACAACAGGACCCCAGGTGCACAGAAGCCCGGCCTCCTGCCGCCTGGAGACCTCTCTCCATCCCTGTGCTCACACGTGGCCTGAAACTACAGCCCAGCCCAGAGCCGAGCTCCTGCGTGGGCCACGCCCGGTCTTTCTCCAAAAGAACCGTCAGCTGGATTCAAGGTGCTCGTGCTCATGTCCTGCTCCCAGGACCACCATCTGCCACGCTCCTCTGACCGGCCACTCGGGGTTATTCCAGGTCATCCCCACCAGGCCCGTGACGAGCTCCACCTCCCATCCTCTACATTAGCTCAAGCCCACCTTCCCCTGACTGCTCTCCACAGTGCCTGCCCTCCTTCATTTACTCGAACATCTGCTGAGGCCCCGCGCTGTGGCTCAGCTGGCTGGATTCCTGCTCAGGCGCATACCTAGGCTGCGGGTTCAAACCCTGGTCGGGGTATGTCAGGAAGGCAACCAACCGATGTTTCTCTCCCACATGGGTGTTTCTCCCTCCCCTCTCTCAAGTCAGCAAGCATATCCTCAGGGGAAGATGAAGACCCACATGCACTGGGACCCTCCGGGCCTGCAGGAAACGCCTGCTCTCCTCACGAGCCCCGGGGCCTCTGCACGCTGACAGCACCTGCGGCCTGAGTGGGGTGGCTCCCGGGCTGACGGGAGGAAAGATGCTTTAAAGGTGGGGTGCAGGGCTCTGCAGACTGTGTCAGGTTCCACCACGAGAGCCCCAGAGATCTGGCGCAGACCCCCTGGGCAGCTCAGGGTCACTTACGCCAAATGGGAAAATGAAGTCCCACCTGAACCTGACCCTGACCCTGAGGCCGAGGGACTTGGGGGCCAGGATCAGGTGGTAGTTTTGAACCCGAGGAATACACAGCTGCCTGAACATGACCTCCCTCTGCACCACAGAGGTCCCCACCAGAGAACTAAAGGGGGCAGGGAGAAAAGTAGCAGCAGTTCTCAACCTGTGGGTCGAGACCCCTTTGGGGGTCAAACGACCCTTTCACAGGGGTCGCCGAAGACCATCGGAAAACACATATATAATTACATATTGTTTTTGTGATTAATCACTATGCTTTAATGATGTTCAATTTGTAACAATGAAATTGGGGGTCACCACAACATGAGGAACTGTATTAAAGGGTCGCGGCATTAGGAAGGTTGAGAACCACTGTACTAGCGAAAAGAATCTGAACAGGGAGAACTCTAAAACCTTTTGTATCTTCGCTGAGACGCTGGAGGGTGTTTGCAGCTGTATAATTAAAAATCGCTCACTTTTCAGGTTAAAAGCTGTGTGGTTCAATGAGAAGGAAATTTAAGGTCGAAAATCTATTTCTTAAATCATAAAGGCAGCTGCTTCCAGACGCTGCACCCAGTCCGCCTGGTGCAAGGATGACAGACTCCAGGCTCCTAGAGGACAGGAGCCGGCTCTGCGAGTCCCCTTCCTTGGCACAGCCCACGTCCCAGAACCAACAGCCACGGGCGGCCTCTGCCGGGCAGGTGGCAAGGCGGCAACGCAACCACAGAGCTCTGCTGCTGCTGGGAACCCGCCCCGACCCTGCCGGGCACAGTCCCCGGGTCTCCGCAACCTCCCTCCAGACCAGGCCTGCCCTGCGGGGTTGCGACAGCATCTGCCACGCTCTCTAGCTACATAGACCATAGCTTTTCAGATGCTGGCAGCACCCAGAGGGGAGAGGACATGGGTGCGCCAGCTAAAAATGACCTGCTCTTACAACAAGACACTTTGTTAGGAGCAGGACAGTGACTAATACTAACACAGAGAGGCCGAATGGGGAGCTATTAGCATGAGAACAAACCCAAGCACAGTTTCCTGCCCCCTCGGGCCTCAGGATGACTCCAGTCCAGGAGACACCCCAGCCCACGTGGTGGCTGTGTGGTGCTCCCGCCGGGCCCCTGTGCCAACCTTACCTGCACTCGCGGACACTCACTGCGGCTCAGACACCTGTGGGGTCTTAGTACGGCATGCTGCCCGTGCCCAGCATGCACTGCGCTGAGTTAGTGTCCAGACAGATGCCTACCACCAAGGAAGCAGCGCCCACCGAAGCCCCGCCCCCCGCGGCAGCGCTACACTAGCTCCGGGAGAAGCGCAGCCCGACACCATGCTGCAGGCAGGCGGGATAGTTACTTGTCCGCGACCCCGGCGGTGACGGCCTCGGGCTGTCCGTGCGCACCAGTGCTATGTGGGAATAAAGAAGCATTACTGGGGGAGCAAACCAAACAACAATGAGGGGATTGCCAACTCTGCTGGCCTGGAGGCAGGATGGGTGGGAAGGGATAAACTCAGCAAAGGAGATGGAGGGTTGAAAAACAAACTCAATGGCCAAGACGAAGCAAGGACAGCTGACACGCCCATGCCGGCGGCCCTGGCCGGGACACGCTCAGCAGGCCCCTTCGGTGACAGCCAGACCAGCCGCCGGAGGCCCAGCAGGGACCCGTGCTCAGCAACTCTGCGCACCCAGCCACCACTCCATCCCGCGAAGGCACAACTGACATGGCAGGACATGCTTTGTGAGCACAGAAACCAAACGACTTAGCAAGGACTTCAGGTGCCAGTGAAGGTTTTATCATAAAATATAAGGTTTAGCCTAAAAGGCCTTTGTATCCGGCTGAATAGCTCTAAGAATCTCCTTGTTTCCAACTGGAATGCCACCGAGACTGGACGGGAGGCTCATCGTTAACTGCCCAGGGAGCAGCAAGTCCCCGACACAGCAGGCGGTCCAGCAGCGCGGCCTCCGGCCTCCTGGCTGTGGGAACCGAGCCCTCACTCCTGCCTTCAGCCGCTGGCAGGTCGGCGCTGGCTCTGCTGACTTAAGGTGGGGCAGGTGGTGGAGAAGAGGAACCCCACAGAGGCGGTGGGCGTGGTGTGCCGCGTGGACGGGGTGTACCAGGTGGTGGAGTACAGCGAGATCTCCCTGGCCACGGCGAGATCTCGTCTTCTCCACCACCTGCCCCACCTAAAATCCCGTAACATTTCTCAAGGTTGAGGACTTGGGACTCGGTGGCATTCATTTCCCTTCCTGGCGCCTCTCTTAGGACCTGATGCTGCCACAGGGGCCCTGTGTCTCGTAGGGGTGGCGGGAGTTTTGGGGGTCCCCCAGATGTGTGGGCAGTGACCTACAGTACAGCTGCTGCTGACAGCCAGACCCAGAGGCACCAGAGGGGTCCCCTTCCAACCACTGCTCAGTCGGAGTCACTTCACGCCCGGGAGACGTGTGTGAACACAAGGGCTTCCGCAGATCCCTGAGGGGAGCAGGCATCCCCCACACCAGGCAGGGACGCTCTGCTTGGTTAAAGATGCAGTAACAACCGAGAGAGAGGAGGCGGCCAGGAGCGAGGGCCGGGGCACACGCTCACCGGGGAATGGCGGGCAGGCGGCAGCCGTTCTCGTCGATGAAGTGGCCCCCGGCGTTGAGCACCCAGCAGTGGTGCAGGGACATGAGCGCGTGCCGGGCTGTGGTGGGGTTGTCCTTGCCGTTCTGACTGTCTGCGTTCTTCAGAGGGGAGAACTCGTCTTCCCGCAGCACCTCATACACCACAAACTTCCTGCCGTGGAAGCAAACGGAGACGCCTGACTACAAATAAAGCTGCTCCCGGCACGGCCCCCACCGCCGGCCTCCGCTCCCCCCGCAGGCCTCCACCCAGCCCAGACGAAGACTCCAAGAAGTAACTAGTCACAAAGACTAGAAATCTTGGTGCAAAAAGATCCCATTAGCGTCTGTTCTGGGAGAGAAAAAGGATGATTTAGGAATGTATTTGGTGAGATGATTCTTAGCTGATCTGTCGTCTGCATTTTCATACCGGTCAGCTCTGCGGTTTCCTGGAGCTACGGGAACTGAGAACACTCGCTGTGACCCTGGCTCTCGGCAGGGAGACGCCTGAACCCAGGGCCGACCCTCTGGCGGGCCTGCTAGTCGCTCAGCCAGAGTGAGGGCAGGAGAGCCACCTGCTGACGACCACTGACGTGAGAAGAGCCTCCCGGCAACTCGACACTCGTGGCCTGGGGCTCCGATGCCGTCACAGCGCCCGCCACTGGCGGCGAGTGTGCGGAGGCAGCGCCCTGCCTGGGAGAGGAAGGCAGGTCCCGAGACCCTCCGTCCATCCTACGGGCTGTGACACCTACTTTGCAAACTGGAAGATGTCGAAGACGAACTTTTCCATCTTTATTCCGTTTGGCTTGTCGGGCTTCACGTGCTGCCCCTGGGAGTCCACACACGGAATCTTCTTCTGAGCCACGTGGTGCTGCAGCTGCGGCTCGTGCACACTGGGCAGGAAGAGAGGTCACTGGAGGGGAGGCCTCCGAGGCCGTCACACCAACGCCTCCCCAGGACCCCGTCGTCCGTCAGCGTTCTCCTCCGAGTGTGGAGGGAAGTGGAGCACTAAGTCACTGCGGATGAAGTTGCGAGGCTACAAGCAGCACAGTGGACTGGGAATCGCTGGGAACTGAGTGGATGCCGAGGGCCAGGCTGACTGAGCAGCCATCCTGGCGCTGAAGCTGGCCCGTGGTGGGTCAGATAGCACGTGCCCTTCCCTCTACACCTGGGCAGGCAGGCAGGGCAGACGCTCCGCCCGGGCCCAGCTGCCCTCACGCTCTAAGGCACTGGCTCCTAAGGTTCCTCGGCACCAGCTCCCGTAGACTGACGCCCCTCTACACGTCCCAGACCCTGGCTCAGCAGCTGTGGGGCAAATGCATCTCCAAAGTGCCTGGCTGTGGGAGAGCCGGGGTTCGTGTCTGTCCCTTGCTTCACCAAGGCCTAGCACACTGGCGGGAGGGAAGAGAAGAAAAGGGGCAACTCTGTGCCCTCAGCTTATGCCCCGGGAGGGGCTCCTATGACCCAACTCACTGACCCCCCCATGCCAGAAACATTTCACTGGGCAGAGGTGACCCCCAGGAAGTGGACGAATTCTGCAGGACTGGACTTGGGGTTATCTCCCGATTTCTCACGCAACAAACAATCCGCAACGCCCCACCCTGCCGTACTTGACAATGTCTCTCAGAAAGGGCACAGTGAAGAAATGGTTGGCGATGTTCCCCGCGTTGAACAGCAGCCGTCCGTCCGGGCCCCGCCGCTGCGCCGTGGCCAGGGAGATCTCGCTGTACTCCACCACCTGGTACACCCCGTCCACGCGGCACACCACGCCCACCGGCTCTGTCGGGTTCGTCTTCTCCACCACCTGCCCCAGGCAGACAACAGCACAGGAAGAAAAGCACTCGCTACGCTGCCCATCACCATTTCCACAGCCCTGGTGCACTTGCACTTACCAGGCAGGGGGAGTCGCTAGCTGCAGACCATCACCTACCCCTGCACAGTCTCCGACAGACTCCCTTCCAACTGGACGGGAGGCTCATCGTTAACTGCCCAGGGAGCAGCAAGTCCCCGACACAGCAGGCGGTCCAGCAGCGCGGCCTCCGGCCTCCTGGCTGTGGGAACCGAGCCCTCACTCCTGCCTTCAGCCGCTGGCAGGTCGGCGCTGGCTGTGCTGACTTAAGGAAATCAGTTGCTGGAGAAAAGCTTTAACTTTACTGATTTGATTTCATCTATACTCAGCATAGACTTTTCAAACTGGGGACACATTTCAGGAATCACCGGAACTGGGAATAATTGAATGAGAAGCCTACGTCCCCCAAATACCTTTATGTTTATTATTTAACTAGAGGCCCGGTGCACGAAATTCATGCACTCAGGGGGGGGGGGTCCCCCAGCCTGGCCTGTGCCCTCTCACAGTGCGGGAGCCCTGCGATCAATCGCCCCAAAGGGGTAGGCGGGGCCACAGGACCCCCAGGCCTGGCCACGTGAAGCAGCCGCAAGGCCCGCCTCCACACCACGCACACAGTGTCAAGTACCTGCCCACCCACGCACACGCGCAATGCGCACGCAGCCTCCTGGTGATGGATTGTGATGGCATGAGGGCATCACAGTGTGAGGGCGTGACGACCACCTAGGCTATTATTAGTATAGATGTGTCCTTAACCACACTCAGCTACTTTGAGAATAAATGGAATGAAATTTCTCTGAGATTCATAAGACAAAAAGTAAGGCCTTTTGCCTCTCGTTTTATATTGCCCAAATCACTATTTTATTTGAAAATGACTTTTTTCCCCCCATTTTCATTCATGGAAACAGCATATTCCTTGTTTTGAGGGATGTCACGGGGAGGCAGGGGCAGCAGGCAGGTCGCTGGCTCCCACCCCGACTTCGGGCAGAAAGGCCCCCCGACTGATCTGTGTCCCAAGCTAGGTTTTGTCTGAAGAGGTTCTATTCTTTAAAAAAGTTTGTAAACCAGCTATTGGGCCTTCTGTCAATGGCTCCAGGCTGGGGAGCTGAGAGAAAGGGGTGTGTGGAAATCAGAGGGAGATGTAAGAGCATTTCATTAAAAAAACCTCACAGGTGCCCTAACCGGTTTGGCTCAGTGGATAGAGCATCTGCCTGCGGACTCAAGGGTCCCGGGTTCGATTCCGGTCAAGGGCATGTACCTTGGTTGCGGGCACATCCCCAGTGGGGAGTGTGCAGGAGGCAGCTGATCGATGTTTCTCTCTCATCGATGTTTCTAACTCTCTATTCCTCTCCCTTCCTCTCTGTAAAAAAATCAATAAAATATATTTTAAAAAAACAAAAAACCTCACAGGTACTTCTGACACCCGCCACCCCAACCCCACACAACTCATCTAAATGTCTAACTTACTCAGGAGACAACTGTGAAAGAACTAATCTGAAGTCAGGTTCCGCTGACACAAAGAGCCTCAGAAGGATCACAATAGAGTAGCTGAAGGGACTGCACGCTCTGCCTGTTCACTCACGTTCCAGCTGCTTCCAAGTATTTTGAAAAATGTGTCCCCGGTTTGAAGAGTCTATGCTAAGTATAGATGAAAGCAAATCAGGAAAGGTAACTTTTCCTTAAGTCAGCACAGCCAGCGCGACCTGCCAGCGGCTGAAGGCAGGAGCGAGGGCTCGGTTCCCACGGCCAGGAGGCCCGGAGGCCGCGCTGCGGGCTGCCCGCTGTGTCCTTGCACTATTTGCCCTGAAAGGAGCACAGGATTCGGTGAAAAGGAGCCTTCTACCAAGGAAAGGAGTGGAGCTGGAGGGGACAGCACGGCCAGGCCACGGCCTCTCGGAGGTGGTCCCATCCCATCCATCCGCCGTGCCTCCCACTCCCTGCCCACAGTGGGCAGCTCACTACCTGGGGTTTGGAATCGGCTCCTCTCATCCCGTTAGAAAAACAAACTTGCACAAGGTTTGTTTCCCAATCCCCTCTCTGTCCCCTGCTCCCACCGCCATGGGAACGGCAGGAAGCACTGCGCACTGTACACACGCCAAGTGTTCATCTCAGGGTGAAGGGTGTCCTTCCATGACAAGTACTAACCTCCAGGGACTGTAAGTCTAAACCACAGAGAGAGCATCCGTACGCCGCACGCAGGTGGAGGTCAGCTTACATTATTCAGAAAAGACAGCGCAGAACTCAGAGCCTGCTCTGCTGTCACGGGCCAAACCCTGAAAGCTGAGCTGCCACCCGTGAGCCTCGGAGTCCCTGAGCCGCTTTAGAAATGCGTGGGTGCCTGAGAGGGCGTTTGTTAAAGCCGGAAGGGCAGCACCCGTGGAGAGCCAGGCGGGCGGCTCTGGCTCACGGAGAAGTGAGAGAAAAGGGGCCTTGGGGACAGGTTCGGGGAGCTGGCCCAGGACAAGCTGCTGCTGCCCATTGCTCCCCTGGCTGCAAGTCTCGTGGGGTCCCTGAGGGTAGGAGATGGGTGCCTGGGGGTGGGGGGTGCAGGCTTGCGCTAGAAAATGATCTTTAACTCACAATGGTCCTGCCCTTTCAGCTTTGTGCAAACCACACCACCCTACAGTCTATTCTCAAGGCTCTCATTCCTTAAAAAGCTTAACTCACAAGACAGGAGCCTGGTAAGAAAGCACTGCAAAGAACGCTACTGCTGCACTGTGGCTCTAACTCAGGCGGCTTTTAAAAGTATGTCTTGATTTTACTACAGTGAAAAGGGTGGGAGGACAGATTAATAAGTGGTTTCTGATGCCTCTAGGACAGTGGTTCTCAACCTTCTGGCCCTTTAAATACAGTTCCTCATGTTGTGACCCAACCATAAAATTATTTTCGTTGCTACTTCATAACTGTAATGTTGCTACTGTTATGAATCATAATGTAAATATCTGATATGCAGGATGGTCTTAGGCGACCCCTGTGAAAGGGTCGTTCGACCGCCAAAGGGGTCCCGACCCACAGGTTGAGAACCGCTGCTCTAGGAACTGGACCCACAGCAGCCCAGTCCCATTTGGTTCCAGACACAGACCTGGGGGCGTGGAGAAGAGTGACTGTGAGACCAGCACACTCATGAAAGTCAGGGTACCAATCACAGTTCCTAGCTACCAGCAAACATAACTACTCTAAGGTTTGCTTTTATAATGTGACATGAGCCTGGCTGGCGGGGCCCAGTGGTTGAGCACTGACCTATGAACCAGGAGGTCACGGTTCGATTCCCAGTCAGGGCACAGGCCCGGGTTGGGGGCTCAATCCCCAGTGGGGGGCGTGCAGGAGGCAGCCGATCCATGATTCTCTCTCCTCATGGATTTTTTCTATCGCTTTCTCCCTCTCCCTTCCTCTCTGAAATCAATAAAAAATATATATAT